CCCCCCTCAGGGGACCGCGGTGCTTCCGCCTGCATCCGCCATGAGTCCGGCAGCGGCAGCAGCGGCTGTCGAGGCTGACGGCGAGGCTGACGGCTGGCACCGCGGCCACAGGCGTCCGGCCGGGACGGCCTCGTGCACTGCCAGCTGCTCGGCCGCCTACTCGCCCACGAGAACTTCGCTAACGAGCCTGCCGGGAGGGACACACTGGCACGGGTCTGGCGATGAAGGCAGATTGGGGCAGGGAGGGAGAGGCGGGGAAGGGGAGGGGGGTCCTTTTTAAAAAAAGTTCCGCGTCACTCGCGTCTCCTTAGCCAATAACTGGGCCGTGGCGTGGCCATATCGCCCACGCCGCCGTCCCGCCCCATCGCGTCGCCGCCGAGGTACGTCAAATCCAAAAGTTCCTTTCTTTACTTCGCCGCCTCCTTTCCCACGAGGAATTAGCGGCCAGGAAGCCAAAGGCGCGGCGAATTGCCTCCAGCTTCCCTTCCCCTGGCCGGGCAAGCGGGCAGCCAGCTGACGGTGCCCGGGGCGGTCAACACTGTTCAAGCACGTGGGAGAAGAACTTCTTTTCCGACAATTTTCGTATTATAATTAATATTGGCCTACTAAAAATGTTTTTGCTTTTTTGTCAAACTAAAACATTATATAACTAAAGCATTATTTGCGTTATTGCTGTTGTTGTTCTTCAAATAGTTTGCTAGAACACGTTATATAAAGTGAAACAGGGAAGGGGAGGCAGGGGGTAAGGCTCTCCGACACACGAAACCAACACGGGAAACCACAGACAATCATCCGTCCCATGGCCCGGCTTGCCTTTGCCTCCGCCCCTCCCCTATTCTCCTGCTTGAGCTCACCCTTCCTTTTCACTGTGCTGCCTGCTCTGGTTCGACTCTATCAAGTGTGTCTTCGGAGATAGTGCGGATCGGAAGTCCCCGGGCTTCGGCGCGGCTGCGCTGGAAACCGCCCCCCCCCCCCTCCCGCGTAGCGATCGCGACAGAGCAGCGCAGCGTCTGTTGCGGACGCAGCCCTTCCGCCAAGTAGTGCAAGCGAAAAAGTATAATAGTGGTGGCGCTGTCAAGGCGCAGTATTTTATTCATCATATCTCTTTCTGCCTTCCGCTTTATCAGACGTCTAGGTTCACGTCCCCCCTTCCCCCCTCCCAATTTCTCGATATCTCTTCGCCGCCTTTTCTTTCAAATAACCAAAGAGGATTATTATTGATTCCGCCTCGGGCGGGCCGGGGCATTGGCGGTGCCGCAAAGGAGGGCAGGATAGAGACGCGAGTCGCGTTTAGCAGAGTGCGGGATGAAGAGAGACAGCCGCGCAGCGGAAGGAGAGCGAATCGGGGAGAGCGGCTGCACGGACGACGGCGGCGGTCCATAGGAAACAGGAAGTGTTGGGAAGAAATATATAAACCGATCTGGCGACGTGCACGCCGACGGCCTCGTGCGGTTCGGGGAATGGGATCGGGACGGCGGCGGCGGTGGCGGCGGCGTCAGAGATGGGGGAACAAGGGAAGACGGAGGAGCGAGGATTTGAAAGGGGGAAGCTGAGGGGACACCATACCCCTACCGCCGCACCACACAGTGGAAAATATGGCTCGGGCTTAACGCCGCGCGCCGGCCGAGGAGGAGCCTTGCGCCACTAAATAATGGGCAAGCACGGGGGGCGCCGACACGCTGCCTCACTTAAAACCCGACTATCATTATTGCTCACCCTCCCCCGGGGGGGGTGGAAGGGCCGAGAAAGAGAGAGAGCAGCAGCAGGGGTTGTGTGACCACTGCTGACGCTGCAGGACAATAATGAGAAACGCGGCAGTTCCATTCCGTCTGGCTTTGGCAAAAATGGGAGAGAGGAAAGGGAGGGGAGGGGGTGGGGGCACACAACCGAATTCCCCCTGTAAGCCTCTCGTGAACGAGCGAAAATGTGCTGCGGGGAAATATCGGCTTGTGATCCACCGTCAGTAAAAAAATCACCTCTTGCCGCCATTCTTTCTTTAAAAGAGAGAGGAAAGTTCAGGATGATACGCCTCGCCTGTCTGGCTTTACTCCCCGTCGAGAGTAATGTGAGCTGAGTGTGTGGCGTCGGGGTGAGGGCAGAGGGGATTGAAAGAGAGATCAGGTGGTACGGTGGCTGGAGTGAGTGGCCGTCACTGCTGATGTGTGTGCAAATACACCTTGGCCCGCCCGCGCCGCTCCAGCCTGCCGCGCGCGCAACACGTCGGCTGCTGGGCAGCGCGAATGATATACGTGCCGAGATGAAACCGATGGAGCCCCTCCGGCTGCTCGGGGTGGACGGAGGGGGAGGGAGGG